CTGTGTTGTAAAGCATAATAATAATAATAATAATGTGCAGTTCGACAAGGGTTTGCACTTTAGTGCTTTTCATTTAAATCAGTTACTAGCAGGTTGTTTCACGATCTAACTGTCACGAAAGATGCATAAATTGTGTTGGTGCTTGAAGTGTCTATTGTGTCTGTCGTGTCTTTCTTCCGGGCGCCTCTAGTGTCTGCGGTGTCAATGGTGTCTTTCGTGTCTGTGGTATCTTATGGTGTCACTAGTGTCACTGGTGTCTTAGGGGTTAAGGTGTCTCGTGGTGGTTCTGGTGTCTCTGGTGCCTTGTGGTGTCACTGTTGTCCTAAGCGTCACTTGTGTTTTTGGTATCTCTGTGTCACTGGTGGTTCTGGTGCCCCAGGGTGTCCTAGAGCTAAGGTGACTAACTGCTGGTTGCAGTTGTGTCTGGTGTGCCTAAAGTTGCTTAGGGTATGAATTCACGCTAGAGGACTTTCACATACCATGGACACAAAAAACACCCCATATGTACCCTAGTGCTGACGGCGCACGAACGGGGGAAGGCCTGCTCTAGAAAACAGGGCTCTCCAACTTTTGTCAGCCTAGCTGATCGCCGTAATCATTCATCTTTCTCTACCCGGCAGCACCGGCTGTGTTCCGCCGTGACAAGCACGCTGCGTACTCTGCCATTCATTTTCCAGAACTCTAACCATGGACTGTGGAACTGTTAACGTGACTTGGTATCCTTTCTTCATTGGTCCAATTCCCTATGAATTGGTACTGTGGATTGAAACCGCCCCTTCACTGGTACTAATGTTTTTGTTCTTCGTCTATCTGTCAATACGCATGAGAAAGAAAGCGTGGAACACTGCGAGTAAACGATTCACTCGCTCTTTTGAGATCTTCTCCATTTTACTCTATTTAATTCTTTTAATTATCACCCTTCTGCACAAAGGGAACTTTGTTACTAATTACTTGTCTTTTGTCTATATTTCCCCAACCATCCTCATTTCATGTAGCTACCAATTTTTATATATCGTTGGCAGCAGCAGGTTTGCTATTTCATGTAGTGTTTCCATTTTTACCTGAGAGTCTAAAAACACCACAGACACTAAAGCAGACACCAGAGACACGTCAGACACCATAGACACCTAAGACAACACAGTACAACTAACAGCCCTATTATAAGCATCTTTCGTGACAGTGGGGAAACAATCAGCCTTCTCTAATGGGTTAGACAATCAGACACGATTTCATTCTTATATCTATAATTGTCTTTCAGCATGCCTCTGCTCCAGTTGGAAAAGAGTCTCCAATATTTGAAGAAATCAAAACTAACAAAACCATCTGACGATAACAATGTTTTGTATAAAGCCCCAGTAAAAGTTTAGTTGCCATGAATATAATTCCACAGTTTGTATAGTTTTACAATGGTGTGATTACAAAAGAATGATGATAAACTAATGTCACTCTAGCTCTTTAGCTTCTAACTGTTAATGTCACACACAATAACAGTTCATCTGAACTGCACACTTCTCCAGAATGACCTTATATGTCTCTCTGAGTGGTGCCACAATTGGAATTTGTCTCTTAATTAAGAAAAATGCTCCTTTTCCGTGTGGAAATAAGCAGAGTCCTTTATTGGCCAACCTAGTCGTTCGTTCGAGCGGAATTTATACGTCGTACGTCGTGTAGGTGCGCATGCGCGGCTTTGTACGCGCTTTTTACACACGGCGCCTCGCGATATGCGCCGATCGATCTAGCCAGCGAGACAACTCTCCTCCATTCGACGGCATGCGCTGCAACCTTCGGTGACCAATCTTCATGGTTCCAAGGTGCAACTTACAAATACGCTAGGATTGCTCTTGCACATACTGCTGCATGCCAGCTGTCTGGTGTACTCAGGTAAGTTAATTCAATAGCACAGCTAAAATAGGTATATTTTTCCTACCTTGTTTTCCAAACTTATTAGCATATTCATATTCCTCCTTCATACATTCTCTATGGGAGAGAAAACTCGTGCGCGACTCACCCAGGAGCGAACGGTCCGTCTCCATTATACGAAGTGGCTTTCTTTGCCTGCTTCGGTACGCAGGAAGCGCTATAGAAAAAAAAATGGGCGTGACGGGGTGGCAAAGCCAACGTGAAAACATATGCGCAAAACTTGGCACGCCTATTATTCGGGATGGCTCTAATACGCCTGCGCGTGCCGCAGGAGGCAGAAGGAATTCCATTGCGCATAATGGAGACGGACCGTTCGCTCCTGGGTGAGTCGTGCATGGGTTTTATCTCCCATAGAGAATGTATGGAGGAGGAATATGAATATTGGAAAACAAGGTAGGAAAAATCCGAGAAATATACCTAAATTTACCATAAAATTATCGTTTTTGCTGCACCATTGAAAAAAATATCCGCCCACGCACAATTCTGCGGAATCGGACTGGGACTTCCGCTTGTCGCGCGAGAACTCATACCGCGGTTTTAACCATAGTTGCCATGGTATTCATGTCAATGCGCCCTGCTGAGTACCCCCTCCCCCCGCTGCGCTCGCACGGTGCGAGTCCCCGCGAGTGTATATAGAAGGCCCCACCCGGGTATATACCCTACACACACGGCGAGAGAACGAGCGAAGAAGGAACCCTCGGCACCAGGTTTGTGTCGGTACCAGACCCTCTCTTCCGTCTGAGAGGGGCTGGTACCGAGACTAGAGCTAGGGCTACAGGGGCTGCTGGTACCTGGAGCTGATCCTCACAGAATCCAGCGGACGTTCCGGTAAAATACAGATAGAAGAGCGAAGCAAGTCGCGGAAGACTCCGTCGTCTAGTAGTCCGAGCTCATGCTGCATCTGCTGTCAAAAAATCGGTCCGAATGACGATGTTCTCTTCTGTTCTGGAAACTGTCAGAAGCATCTTCATCGCTATTGCGCGAGCGTTAGCGAGCAATCTTATAAAGCTCTGACTTCGGACGGCGCGCCTCCTTTCCTCTGCTTCTGTTGCTACAAAGCCCAGAAAGATGAGGAGGTTGCACAACTGCTAAAAGTCGTCAACCTACTCAAGGACGAACTGCATGCCATCAAAGAATCGAAGCAGGACGCCACAAAGCAGAGCGAAGTATGGCCTCCATTAGCTACTGATGCTGGACAGCCAACCAAGAAGACCAGCCCTACCTTTGATGGTGAGCATTCTGTGTCCCATTCCACTCGCACTCAGTCCTCACACAACAATGATTCTAAATTCAATATTGTCCTACATGGTGTGGAAGAATGCCCTTCCGGTAGGTCCAGATCTGCTCGCCTCGAGTCCGACTTGTCTAGTGTCGTTGATGTCCTTTCTAGTGTAGACACTTCCATTCAGCCCCAGTCAGTGAAGGACTGCTTTAGATTGGGAAAGTTCTCTCCCAGTGCATCTCGGCCGAGACCCATTCTAGTGAAGTTTGTCAGAATTGCAGACGTAACTAAGATTTTTGCGAACAAAAGAAATTTGTCTTCCCCTTTCTCCATCAAGCCGGATATGTCGCGTGCTCAACGTCTGCAAGAATCTGTTCTCATGCGAGAAAGATGGCACCTTATACAGTCAGGGGTTAGCCGTAAAAGTATCAGAGTTAAAGGTGACTCTCTCTACCTAAACCATAAATTGCATGGCCGTGTCTCAAACTCCAAATTTGAGCATGCTACCTCAGCTTCTGTCACCCTTCCTTCAAGCCAGCTTGGCAGCCCTAGCAAAGGTTTGGTTACAGTTCAGGATGACAACCAGTCTGATATTCCTGTTCAAAACACCTCACTGTCTGACGAGCCAACAATACCACCTGTAAATAACACTTGTCCTCAAGTTACATCATTCGGTAATGGTGACACCTGCACTACTGCAGCTTCACAATCAACCCACGCTGCTCCTTCTAACACTAATCCTTCTCAATGCTGACTACCTACTCACTGTCACTCTGTCTGTTTACTGAATGTGCGTAGTATTGTAAACAAGCTGTCTAAGTTTCAGTCCTTTGTGTACGCTTCTAATTTTTGTATCATTTGCATAACCGAAACCTGGCTCTCTGATTACATTTCTAATGGGGAAATCCTTCCGTCTGGTTATGTTATATATCGTAAGGATAGGCCTTCACGTGGTGGAGGTGTGTTAGTAGCTGTTAAAGAATCGTTATACTCTTCCTCAGTTTGTTCCCCGTCTAATCTTGAAATTGTATCAGTCAAAATAGGCCAAAGCAGTGATCATGTTATTTGTTGTATTTATGTACCTCCTGACTCTCCTCTTTCTTATGTGTCTTCTCTAGTCCTTTTTCTTTCAGATCTTGTCTCATCCTTCAGTAAGTGTACTTTTGTAGGTGACTTTAATTTCCCTGACATAGATTGGTTTGCACTTATGGGCACTTCTAATTCATCAACTTGTTTATGTGATTTTGTTTTTGACTATAATTTTACGCAGCATATTCTTGAACCTACTCATGAAAAGGGCAATGTACTAGATCTTGTTCTAACATCTCCATGTGTCTCTGTCACAAATTTAACTATTCATCCCCCATCTTCACTCAGTTTTTCAGATCACTTCAATATTACTTTTGACCTGTTTTGTAGTGCCTCATCTGTAGTTGAATCAAAATCCGGTTACGTGTTTAATTTTTGTAAAGCTGACTATGACGGTATTACCTCTTTTTTGTTAGATTCCAATTTTAGTATTTTGTATGACAGTTATGACATTGAGTATATTTAGTTTTTGATCAAGTCTTTTATTTATCAAGCAATGTAATTGTACGTTCCCAAGGTTCTGGTTAAGCAAATTAAACACGTAACCGGATTTTGATTCAACTACAGATGAGGCACTACAAAACAGGTCAAAAGTAATAGTGAAGTGATCTGAAAAACTGAGTGAAGATGGGGGATGAATAGTTGAATTTGTGACAGAGACACATTGAGATGTTAGACCAAGATCTAGTACATTGCCCTTTTCATGAGTAGGTTCAAGAATATGCTGCGTAAAATTATAGTCAAAAACAAAATCACATAAACAAGTTGATGAATTACAAGTGCCCATAAGTGCAAACCAACCTATGTCAGGGAAATTAAAGTCACCTACAAAAGTACACTTACTGAAGGATGAGACAAGATCTGAAAGAAAAAGAACTAGAGAAGACACATAAGAAAGAGGAGAGTCAGGAGGTATATACATAAATAAACCTGAGCACTGTTTGTGTTGCTTACAGACATGTTGTCGTTCAGTATCTATGCTAATCTTATCCCTGAAACAAGTCGTAAATATGAGAGCTACTTAGCAATTGCTTCTGTGTTGATAGTGGTGGATCATTGAAATGTCAATTAACAAGCAAATGTGCCCCAATTTTAAGGGAATGTTCATTGTTTACAAACAAATACACAGTTTATGACAAAAGGGACCATTTCAACTTCGACATTTGTTAAATTTCCACTTTTAGCTCTAACGTTCCCTGTAAACCAGCATTATGGTGTGTATACTTCCCAGCTCGTACTGTATAGGTAGAAGTTATGACCAATTTCCTGAATGAAATTACAAGTTCGTAAACTGATCAGTCAGTATACACAAACACATAGAGGATGGGATATGCCTGCCAGCCAGTGATGGTTTCCTGGGTCGCTATGTAAAACTGTTGTGGGAGTTGTTTCTCAGACATTTTTTCCTGATCAAGTTGCTACTCTTACATGTACAAAATACTTTTTGTTCGTTTTTGTATTTTTTTAGAGGCTGTTACAGATTTATATTTATCATACAAAACTTTTCCAATTAATCTGGAGGCTGTAATATAGTGTTTAATATTCTTGATGCATGTACGTCACTGGTTTGGATGGTGAATTTCTATGTCTGAATGTGCACTCATTTGGATGGTGAAATTCTATGTCTGAATGTGCACTCATTTGGATGGTGAATTCCAATGTCTGAATGTGTGCTCATTTAGATAGTGAAATTCGAATGTTAACTCAGGGTTCAAAGTTTACAAACTCGTGCATAAAACACATACCTGCCAACAATCCCTTTTTGCTTGATAATCAGGCAAAAAATAGTGCCTATCCCTCCGAAAATCGCCAAATCCCTCTTTTTTGTGCTAACCTGTGAATGGCTGTGATGCATCATGTCTAATGAACCCACAGCACAAACAAATATACTCCAAATCAAGCAAATTTCCCAAGCAAAGATTCATCTGCAGTATGCATAACGAGCTATTACTGCACAGGCGTGATGAGAGTGAGTGTGCATTTATACCTAACATTCAGACATTCCAAAATTACTTTCAGACATAGAATTTCACCATCCAAATCTTTTATTTAAAAAGTTTATTGCAAGGAGTATATAAGCCGCTTCATTGCGTGAATCTGTCACTGACACTCGTATACCAGTGGCAT